GAAGTAGAGCACAGCTGCTAGCCGTGTGAACTAAGTTCTAGTACGAACTATAACATGCAGCACTTTGGAAATTAGATGTGATAAAATGCATGCGTATGGTAGTTATTGAGTGCTTTGAGAAGGGATATACAAGGACACCATATTTGCGGTTAAATTACGCGTATTGTGACGAAACTAGTATTCATGGTCCGCAACATGGTGTTAAGAAACATTTCTGCGAATGCGGGGAAAGTATAATTCGGACAACTCTGGTAAATCATGTAATTAAAAGAACTTATTTTCGTCTGCACTCTCTGTGGGATTTATTCATGCTGTCTGGGCTGGTCTCCAGGGGACCATGATGAACCAAAAAATATCCGTGTTGTGTACAGCTACAATGCTTGGACTATGAGCATGCGCAGGTGCCCACTTAGGGCCATAAGTTAACCAAATCTTTCCACCACAAAAGTGTATCGGTTTCATGTTGGTGGGATTCTTGTTTCATCATGCATCTGTCCAGTGCTGCCTCTCCTTTAACCATTTCGTTACAGTCCCGAGAACTTTTGTCGTCAACGTCAACCCTATCAGTTTAAAACTGCCTCTGAGTGTCGGTCATGTGCGTTAGCGGATGACAACGCAACAAAGATCGGCATTACACTCATCACGCCAGAAACGTGACTCATTTTAATGCAGCCATAAGTTGGTTGACATTGGTGGCAACATACTAGAGCACATCACAGATTGCCCCAATCCGCGGGTTGGAATGAGCCAGTCCACTGCGCATTGGCTGTCGATTAGTCTTGAGGAAAATATGGAAGATTGCAACATGATTTACGTTTCATGCTACGTAATACAAGAGTTTATGCATCCTTCCTCGTTATCACGGAAAAATGCATGGGATCAAAGAACAACATGGGCCTGGGACCAAAAAGGGTTGTATGGGACACAAGAGTCCCACCAACATGATCACGTGATTATAATCGGGACCCATTTGCATCATATATGAGGTGAGATGGCCGTTCTAGTCATTCAGAAGGCGCACGAGGCGAACGTCGTACTGTGCCTGTGAACTGGGTGCCGCTGAAACTTGTGGTGGCGTGTATAGGTATGTTGAACCGAACCCAGAGTCTGAAAATGCTAGATGATTAGCTCATGTCTCTAGGTTATTAAAACCACGAGCGATTTTGACCAGTGCAATGTGGTGGCAATTGTAAAAATTGGTCCGAATAATTGTGATATGATAAAAATATGGTGGTTCTTGTTTGTTCTGATATTCACTTGAAATTGCCTTCTGAACAGGCGAAAAGCTGGGTTAAGTATCTTAGCGCCCACTGGTCTATAACAACTTATTGCACATTTTTCGCCCTGAAAATTAGCAACGAACTCAAAAGGAATATTCCGTGCCTGGAGATATTGAACCAAACATCAGATGTAACAAAATAAGCTCACTATACCTATTGGTATGCTTTTAAGTGAAAAGGACTGCTCTGGACAATACAGTTTCTCTAATAAGCACATTGCCCCTCAATACGCCATTGCTTAATAGCGTCATAAAACTTTTGTACGGCAGCACTCGTACTACTTCAATCTCCCAGAAGGTGGTCCACGATGGTGCTGGATGTGTGCTGAACGAAATTTCGCTATATTTTTCTTAAGCTCCCTGATCGCAGTGCATTTTCCGTAATAGTTAGGAAGAATGCATAACCTCTTGTCTCACACTGCATGAAAAGCAAATCACGTCACTATCATCCATACATTCCTCAAGATTAATCAGCATCCGACTGACGGTCTTTATATCTGGAAACCGTACTCACGAACGCCAGTCATTAATGACTCGACAATTATATTTGTGTTAGCCTTGAACAGCGCGCGGCTAGAGGCATGGCAGAGTTTTGGGTTATGTTATTGTGACATCATGGATTCCTGGTAATCTCATAATATTCTGGACAACTTTTAGTGCATGTAGCTTAGAAACTGGATAGTTTTAGAGGGTTTTAAGTCTTGCGAAGGGCACGGCTGTGAACTGCACCGAATGCCTTTAAGATGGTTATTTCAGTTTACAAATATCAAATGTGGAAGTGGATTGGCACGGGTTCATTCGATGAATTTTTGCAGGTTGGACCGGTCCGGATCACATTGACGAATCAAATTGGACAATATTTTGACATTATTTGACACACCGGATCACATTGACAAAAAAGGAAAAAGGGATTGGTGGCCGATTGGATGTGGACTAGATGGACTGGACCGGACCGAATCCTGCAAGTCAATACGTGAAGCTCCCTTCAAAATACTGCCAACCAGGAGTGCCACTTTCTGGAATCAGTTGAGAGGGGGGGGGGGGAGGGGGACTGATCTGGTATGGTTGAGCTTGCATGCCCCTAAATCTAGTTTCCCTCGGGACTTCGGTCATATTATTTTTGGTTTATCATGTCGAGAGTAAACTAAATCTTTTAATTTTGGGGCAATCAATGCATCGTTTCGATGCGCAGGAATGTTTGTAACTTTAATAAAATGTGACTTTATGTTTCAAACCGGCGCGACTTCGGAAAGTTTGGATGTGGTTAAAATGGGGGTTTATCCACAGAAAAAAAACATCTTAGTTAAACGATCCGATGCGACCAAGGAACACAGACACCGTATGTTGTTCAGTGATAGCGGTCCAACTTGCAAAACGGATTTTTTCCACCAAAAAAAAAAAACAAAAACAATACGCATCATGCGTGACCTGATACATACGAATGAAAGGCTATGGAAACTTTCGCATACATCGCCAGGACGTACCCATAACTCAACGTGGCACTGACCTTGCACGACCTTCTCCATAGACATGTTGACAACTGGAAGCAGATGGCAGATCAAGGCTGCTGATCGGGCGGGTCTCCAGAGCGGCCATCTTGAAACACAGCGTGAACCGCGCTTAAACGCGATTTAGAAGTTGATGCAAGCAAGAAAATCGCTGGCTCGCGATGTTTCGGCAGTATGTTCTTATGTTCAAAATAGTGGGCCCGTACCAACGGCTAAAATAAATTTTCTGCACTTCACGAGCCCAGAATTCCATTTTGGCTCACATGCATTGTGGGTTCAAATCAGCGTTGGGAGATCAGGCACCACCTAAAGTGTATACCGTGAGGCCTCTGCCGCCAGTCATGGAAGGGAGCACATTAAAGCGTAAACTGGAGGTTTACATACACGGCCTCGAATTACAGTGCCTGAAGTTGATTATCTCCACACACAGTAGATTTTCTCATCGATGTTTGAAAGCTACCCAGCAGCACCAGGAAGGCGCACTAAAAGAGGTGTATGATATCAATTATTTTCTCAAATTCGTTGTGTTTTGCGTATTTTGGCCCATCTAAACCATAGCATTCCTGGCCACGTGTTGCTTAGGCACAAATGTAGAATATGTGCACCCCATGCCATAGGACAGAATCTGAAATTGGTGGAGGTCACATCATTTTCTATTGAATCATGCGTTTGGTCACGCTATGTACGCTCTGTGCTGATAGGTTTGCCACGTTATATTTTCTGAGCTTTCGTCAGCATTGGCTGCAGGCGCCGGCTATGAGAGGATAAAAATCTCAAAGATGTCCGAGTCGCAGGTGTACCAGTCACTGACTCCTTATTTGTGTTATTGGAAAGAGTTCAAAGTGCATACGTGAGGTATGCTGTATACTGATGAGGGCACTTATTCTTAGATAATTATTAGTCGTTGGTTGAGGAAAATGTGCAAAATGGCGGTACATTGATATTTTCGCAGCAAAAGTTTCTTGTTCGGGGGGAGCTGTGACCAAAATACAAATAGTTAGCCAACTGCCTTCTTCTCTTCAATAACCAACGAGTAATAAGATCAAGGGAAACATTTTGTATAACACTTAGGCGCGGCTTGTGCAGAAAACGATGATCGGTACGGAGCGTGGCGTGGGTTCGACAAAGCCATAAAGCCGTGATGTCGTGTCGTTGTGACCACCATACAACGAAAATAATTACGTTTTTAGCTTTCATAGGGTGTCTGGAATGACTGTCTACATAGCAAGAAGAATGTATATGATCAGCAGCTTTCCTATGATTATATTTTAAACGCCTGAAAATGAGCGGACTTTCAGCCTCAAAGCTTCCAGCTTCCAGTCATTTACGAGTTTTATGGACTTCTCCTTTTCTGTTAACTCATTTTTAAACGCATGCGAACTCATACACACTTCAGTATCGCCACTCGCCGTCGTTCGGGAAATAACTTGCTCAAGTCCAGCGTCTTTCGAAAATGTCTTTTAAGAAGCCCTCTACACAGGAACCAATCCGAACGATGAGTACAGCGTAGCTAAGGCCTGACTCTCAATTGTAGTTAACGGGTGCTATATGTTGCAATTCTCATTGGGAGCTCTTTATTAATTTTGGCGTGTTTCACGCGTTTAAGATACAAACATTGACATGAATCTCATCAATGAGTTGTTACAAAATCAATAGTGTTTCATAACACTCTGGTCGCATTTGCCCAAAGCACACCTGCTCGCAGCTTCATAGATTCTGTCAACGATAGTAATATGGCCGTGCCAGATTCATAGCTGGCCAGTTTTCGAGCAAAGCTACTTGTGAACTCGCGCAGGAATGCCATATCAGTCAACCTCATTCTTTAAGCTCTCACGGAAGGCCGGATTTCCAACACGTTGGCCGAATGCATTGGAGCCGGCTGCCAAGTATGTCTGACTCTCTTAGGTTAGTTTTAGATTGTCCGCGGAATGACCACTGTTCATTATCACGTTTGATATCGTGTCGGGCGTCCAACAATGCGCAAGGTGTTTTGCGGGTATTGATCCCGCAGCGCTGGATGGAAGGAGTTTATTTCCAATTCAAATTTAATCCGTCCATTTTTTGTGTCGCCTCTGCATCGTTCTCGGAAGTTATAGCCGCTGACTTCTCAAACTGGCATCAGCATTTGGTCAAAAATGGCGTAATGACAGCAACGATTCTAAAAGTATGTCATTGTTAAGTAGATCCACATTGCAATAAGAACGCATGTGATCAACCGCTTTCCAATGATTTTATTTGCATCATCTGACACAAGTCAAAGCGAACAACAAGCTTCCAGCATCAAGTCATCTACGGGATTGTGGATTTTCTCCTTTCCTACTTACTCATTTTTAAATGCATACATTGTAAACATTGCTGGCATAATAACTACATCGTACATAAATATTCTAAAGTAGGCCATAACGTAGTGATTCACCGGTCGGCTACAATCCCACAAAACCATATGGTGCCGATGAAGTTGAACATATCTTTGAACCAGCAGAAGCACCGAGTGAAGAACGGTAATGCCATTAACCCCAAAACTGCCTCAAACAATATTGATGCTGAGTGCAGTCCTGACATGTGATGCCACTGAGACGATAAACATGGGGCAGCCCGCATAATCTTACATAAGCTAATATAACGCTAATTGCAACCGTTTTTGGTTTACGTCACACCGGACGCCCTGGCGAAGTGATGTAAAAATAGCAGCCAACGGAATGTTTCAACGAGAAGGGGAACGGCGTACAACAGGAAATAATAGTAATACAAAACAATCAAGTTCTTGGATTATCACCAACATGGGGCACCATCTGTGCTCCCAGCATTCGCCAGATGCTGTCATAATGTCAGATATCAGAAAACACTTGGTTTGAGCATGCTTCACTTGTAGATTGGTAGCTAGATCCTGAAAACCGATTTGTTTTCTAAACACAGCAACAGTCAACCAAAAATAAGAAGGATTCAAATATGCAAAGACAGGATATGCTCTTAAATTGGATGTTACACATTTTATGCGGTTTTGAACTGAACTAGCCATATTGTAGATCATTCGGTGCAGTTTACAGCCCTGCTCTCTTTAAGGCCTAAACCCTCTAGCTTTTGAGCTACACGCCAACAAAGGTGAGCAAAATATTTCGGGAGAGGCTCTTTCGGCGTAACCCAGGTATCCTTGACGCCATAATAACGACACGTAAATCCTGTCATTCCATTGACCATGCAGCGACCAAGGCCAACCAAAATGTAATTGTCCAGTACCCCATATCTAGCGTTTGCAAGTACAATTTTCAGATTCGGCTTTCAGTTGACTCTAAAACAATATAACGCAAGATGCGATGACGTACCCAAACAGCGGCGCCTGAAGAGCACATTTACCAAGCACAAAAGTTGTGATGCCTGTAGCATTCTTTTCACGTAAAAGCATTGGAATCAGCCGGGCCAAACAGTACCTTGGCCCATCTCCTTTTCTGGTATCATCTTTCAATATACAACCTATAACACGCCGGTGCTTTAAAATCCTGCCATCCGTACTTCAAAGACGTCTTACTGACGCCTCTGCAACGCAGCTAACTTTTTTGTTGCAATGACGGACTTAGTTCAACGAAGTTGTATCGGACACTGTGTATTCAACATCATGTGCCTAGCACACGGTCTATTGATGTTGTGAATGCCCTCTCCTTTTGCCTACCTAGTTTCCTCGAACTGAGTGGCCGCTGTCGTCTACGTTTTTTATTGTTCGCCGAGGAACTTAGCGTTCTGCTTATTTACATAGCCCCACAGCTGCCATCAGTCTAAGTTCATTCCGGTCAGGGGGCAAATAATAGCAAGCGCCTAAAGCGACTGGAACCCACCCCTCCACTAGCGGATGAGTCGGAAGGCAGCGGCTCTGAATGCTACACTGATCTGAATTGATGCGGACATTATGATAATCGTTTCCCTGAACCTTGTCAGCTTTCAATGTTTTCTAAACGCATACTTCAAACAAATATTTCACATTTGAAGATATTAAATCAAGCATGGGATATGATGAAACAAGCTCACTTATAAGTATTTGTGAATTTTGAAGTGGACAAGGCTGCTCTAGGCAGTACAATGCTCTGCTTAGTAAACATGCTCCTCAAGCCGACATGGTCTGACTACCTCATCGCGCCCTGCACAGCCTTGATTGAGAGCCATTGACGGCCGTTATCTCTGGAAATCGTGCTTATGCACACCAGATATGTGATTGCGCTCGCCTCGACAATTACATCTGTATTTTTATTGGCATTGATCGCCGCATGGCTCAAGGAATAGCAGGATTTGAATGACGTTTTTATGAAGTCATGAAGGCCACGGAGATTTTGAAATGCTCTCCCCGATATACTTGCCCCCATTTTCGCGGGCGTATAGCTAAGAGGGGCTTAGGTCTCAAAGGGCATAATTGTAAACAGCACCGAAAGCTCTTCAAGATGACTATTTCAGTTCAATACCCCATGTAATTGGGGAACCCTTCCTATAATCATAAAGCCACAAACATAAAATTCAGAAGTCACTGTTGAGTTCTGAGCTATTAGCATAACATTGACAAAGGACAGGACATGACAATCTGGCAACAAAATTTGTTTATCCGACAAAGAACCAAGCATTTGAGCGTCAACCGACGGAAAGAGAATCGGTCTGACACGATTTTTCGGTTCGCCATTCTTTTATTGAATGGTATCACTGTTCTGAAAAACTATCTTATTATTGATAGAGGCTGCATGTAGCTGTTACTGATCTTCAGTTAATCGGGTGTATGACATCATTGGGCAATATGCTGTTGGTTTTTCAAGCTGCCAGAAAATGAAGTCATTCGATTACACAGTATAACGATTCGTTCCACAACCATACAAAGTGTAAGACTCCACGCGTTGCTCATCGCTCTTGCTGGCGATGCAGCATGTTCTACATAACGCCACTCACCATGATAGACTTCATAAAAAATGTGCTGGACACGTCTCCTACCGCAGCGACGGTTCTGAGAACATGGAAGCATATACATGTTTATGATCGTTCATTCATGCCTTCTTGACATGGACAATTGTTCCTTCGAGTTTAATTTATGAATCAATACATTTATTTAACACTCCCAAGAGGGTTTCAATATCAAAGTGCTTACCAAATCGATGACGTAGGACTTCCCAATAGTAAAAACATGATTAAAAATCGCTCGCAACGCATCTCAGTTCAGGTAATGGCTGTCAGAAATCAGATGCTGAAGTTTCAGAGCAGTTGGCATGTCAAGAAGCGGCGTGCAGAACCCTCCGCCGGCGGCACCTGACGAGCCACCGCTGACGGTGAGGCCTCTGTGGCGAGCCTATCATCCCCATCACCATTGGGGTAAGGAGTCGAACGCGACGCGAGGGTATCCGGGGCCTCGGAGACAGCAGCCGCGTCCAAAGCCTCGGCGTGTACAGCTGTCGGCGCCAAGGCCACGATGGCCGCTGTGGTGCAGAGCGCGGAAGTGGCAGTGGGCGGGTGCGGGACGGCTACCGGTTCTGCTGGTGCGGTCTCCGGGTCTTCGTCTGCCAAAGCAATGCCCGTGGGGACCGAAGCCACCAAAGCGACCGTGGCGCAGAGCGCAGAGGTGGGCGGCGGTGGCGTTACGGCGCGCACATCTGGAGCCTCCACCGGCAAGACTTCTGTAGCCACACCAGTTGGAAGCATGGCCACAATAGCAGGGCATGGACACAGATTGGAGATGCCCACGTCTGGTCTGGGGGAGGTTATCAGCTCTCTAACCACCTTCTCTGTGCTTTCCAAGATTGTGGCCTTGTCCACGCCGGTGGGCGTCGGCGGTTCCGCGGTTTCCATGGTGCCAGCTGCCAACAGCAAGCAGGCAATGACAGCCACCGGGCAACCAGGAGCAGCTGCTGAAAAGAACGTCATTGTTAAAAGGACAATAGAGAATTGCTCATCAATACGCTAAACATGCTTCTACTAAACATTCGGATGATGGAGGTGATGATATCTTGCTTATGAATGTATTACGCCTCGGAGTATTTGGCTAGATTCCTCAGACTGCGTAGGTATCATTGGCTCCGCAGTGCAGTGTGCAATGTATGCATGCTCGAATCCACTCAATTGGCTCCGGCCTAATTGGTAGAGATACTCGTGGATGCACAGTATTTGAGCATAGAGCCATCGTCTTGGACGGAAAATCGCCTTAGGCGGTCTGGCATCTGTAGGGCATCCACAGAGGCTGGCGAACACCGAAGCACTTACGACATCCCTGCTGACAGACCGGCTACCATACCAAAATCAAAAGCCGCGCGTTTAGAGCGGACTTGGGTTGCTCAATGATTACAACAGCGTCCAACGATAACAACACGCAGAATCGCAAGAAACTTGCGTACGTTCAACCGGCTGTTCATAACCAGCCATGTGTTAAGCTGTCGGTTCCGCAGCCGAACATATCACCCCGAATGCGTGGGCTAGCGCGATACCTGTCATGATATACTGCGCACCGGTTCCTAAGCCCAGGGGATGCCTACCTGAGCACTTGGTCACCACGCCATCTGTCCCTGATGATCCGCCACATTATCAATTCAAACAAACGCACCCAAGGACAAACTAGGCGCACGGAGATTGGCAAGGGTGGTATATGTCGTCACCTGTTGAATTGACTCGGATGCATATGCAAGGATGAATATCAGGTAGCGTACGACCAGCTCGCATTTGCTGGCCATGTTTGAATGGGCTATGACTTGCCCAGGAACCAGACTTGAAGTCATTTATGGTGCATTTCCATGCACGGTTGTCGGGTTGAATGATTTGTGGGAGTTCTGCTTACTGTGTTTACACCCGCACTGGAGGTGCCTGAAATATAAATCCGGCATTAAACGAATATTTGTGCGCCCAAAACCTAATCCTGGCCACTGGAGACAGACAAGTGAAATCCGCTATTATGTGCCCGCTGGCCACAGCAGCGCAAGCTGTTGGAAAGAACGTTTTGATGGTGCGTATTGGACATGGATGTTGTTCTTGACATTATTTCCTTGGTGAATGTGAATGCGTGATACTACCCATTTTTGCAACGGATGCGGTATATGCCAATGGTTCGCTAAGAAACTGACAGCTGACAAGACCACAGCTTAATTGCCCACCTACGGATACATACATACCCAAAGATTCTAAAGCACAAGGCACTATCCAGTCATCTCACAAATTCCGTTTTCAGTCTTCCACATGGAAAAGCGCTTAAATAAGGCTCTTA